TGGGACTTTCTTCTCCATGCTGACAGCCATATGACAGCATATGATTTTAAATGAATAGCAATCATATACTAATTTCAAGTCTTCAGGGGAAGAGTGCCCTGCTTTCTTATGTAGGCAATAAGAGTGATGTACAAGAGTGAGGAATCAACAGGACTGGGGAGGACCTCACAAAACTTGTCAAGTACAGTAAACAAAAAACAACCAGGTGGGAACAATGGCATGGATTATTGAGATTTTGAAAATGGAAAACCAAGAGGGAAGATGAGTGAAACTGAGCATCCTTGAAGAGAATAATGCATAGGAATTCTCCACAGCAACATTTACTGGCAGGCTCCACTTGCAAGTTGCCTGGTTTGAACACCACAATAACCCATCAGAGTTGGGTTGGGTGGCTGTGTAATCTCAACCCAGACCACATTCTGCCAGGTGACTTACTTTTCAGCCCCAAGTTACCCTGACAACTCATGGCTTGTTCTAGGGGTTGTTCAGTCCCCACTAGGTTTTTGTGTCATCCAAACTCCACAGAGCAATTTCATTGTGTGTTACGAAGACTGGCTAATGAGCAGCTCAACAAGTACAGCAAAAATCCCTGGTGTTCTTCACATGGTTGCCCATGCCTCCACCAGTGACAGCCCTTTACTTTGGAGTGTCCATCACTACTTTGGTGCCCCAGCTTTTGCTGCTTTTTTCCCTTTACTGATGGTTTTCAATTGACAGCTAGGCAGGTAATTATGCACAAATTTGGCTGCATGCAGTCTCATCAGTTTCCATCTATATTAGCTACTCTACTTTCTTTGCTCCCTTTGACAGCTGAAACATACAAGGCAATAGACAAGACTGCACATAGACAGGGATAAACAGGTGTTTTGTGTGTACAGTTATCATGGCTGCCCAGTGCCTTTTGACTGGCAGTTTCCTGTTAACCTGGATCTTCATTGGCTAATTGCTGCTAAGAATGAGCAGTGCTTGCATTATGGGTAGCTTACACAGGTTTGGATTGAGCATCAAGTTTTACTGGGGGTGTCAGTATGAGAAAGGATCTTGTGGGCCTGATCACAAACATATTGTAACAGTGACGTGGCGGTCAAGAGGGTGAACGCCACCCTGGGATGCATAGCCAGAAGTGTGGCTTCTAGATCGAGAGAGGTATGACTGCAACTCTAGATGATTGTGGTGCGCCCACAGTGTTCAGTTCTGGTCCCCTCATCACAAGAGGGGTATAGCAAGGTCAGAATTGGTGCAGCGAAGGGGTGCAAGGATGGTGGCTGGTTTGCAGGGTAAGCCGTATGAGAGGAGACTGAGGGAACTGGGTCTTTTCAGCCTTGAGAAGAGGAGACTCTGAAGGGACCTATTCGCGACATACAGGTATGTGAGGGGGTGTCATGCAGAGGTGGGTCATGACCTTTTTTCCCCTGTGGAGGAGGCCAGGACACATTCCAATGGAGCAAAGCTCAGGGAACCAAGATTCAAGGTGGAAGCCAGGAAGCACTTCCTGACGGTTAGGAACCCTAGGGCATGGAATGGGTTTCCACGGGAGGTGGTTGAAGCCCCATTGGTAAGGGTGTTCAAGGATAGCCTGGACATGCACATGGTAGGCATATCATGAGCGGAGCTGGCTAGAGCTGGGGGTCAGACTAGATGGCCCAGGAGACCCCTTCTGACTTGTTCTGTTTCTGTGTTTTAAGCTTCACTGCAATGAATCACACCAAATACATAACCTGCATTTTTTTTTAAAATCCTGGGCGGATCCCAAATTTGGCCCAAAAGTAAGTCTCTTTATGCACTGTACAAACCAGATAAGCTTTGAATAGAATGGGACAAACAAAACCTCACAGGCTTTATATTGAGTAACTAAGGGTATGTGTGCATATTTAGACAGAAAAAGGTCTTATAACTCCCTGCATGCCACAGTCGACATGCATCAGATTGTACTTTAAGACACCCTTGGCACATGTTGAGTGTGAGTGTGGCTGGGGGAATGCTTTTAAAATGTGTCCCTTTCTTTTACTGGGGACTTTGGGAAGGTGTTATCTGGCTGGTTTCTTGGTGGCAGACAGTACATCATACCTGTATCCTGTCATACCTGTAGCCTCTGTACAACTGTGCTCTTTGCCCACATTGCCCAGTCCTAATTAATGCTGTTGCTTATTTCCATTGTGTGCTTCTTAGAAAAACCTTGCTAGTCTGTAGCCATGACAGAGAGCAAAGTGTTTTTAGCAAGTTCTCAGTGGGAGTGGGGGGTTGTGAGTTCTGTGGTCCCTTCTCTTTACAATGATTTGCTTTCCGTGCAGTGCAACTGCTGAGACTATTATATGAAGATTGGAGGAGGTGGAGAAAGGTTCTTAAAACTTTCATTTTGTATTGCCTTCTGCCCCTGCTCCTTCTGTCCCTGCTGTAGAAAAGAAAAGAGTACTCTTGGAAAGTTAAACAGGAAGAAGATTTGGAGCAGGAGACCAACACAAGGAGAAAGGATGCTGTGCCAGTCCTCTTTTTCAAATCATAACTTCAGAGGCAAATTTCTAGAGAAGAAGAAAAATGCCTCTCTAAACAGAGGCATGGGACATCTCATGAACGTTCAATTCTGCCCCTGAGAGAGATTGAAATCTAATCCACAGGGTGTGTGGGAAACAAATAGGTTGGCACAAAGAATAAGAAGGGTCTGGAAAGCAAAATTAGGACCCATATCTGGAGTCTCTGCAAAGCATGGTATGAAATCTCAGTAAGAATGAGTAAAGCTGTACCTTCTCAGCCCTCCCTGCTGTACCTACTTAGATATCACAGACCAGGGATGGGCAGAAGATAGATTTGGATCTATTGGTAAATCTTAGGAAGTTTCATCTTAGTATCAGCATAGTTATTTAATTCTAGCAGCAACAAAATGATTCTTCTTTGTCCTCCTCTGGTAAAAATTATACTTGAAAGGAAGAAAACTTGGAGAAATCAGATTTTTGTGTGGAGAGATTGCGAGCTCTATTTAATTAGGTACCTATCACAAATTCCCTTTTAAATCGGTCTCTGCTTGGCAGATCCTAGTGAAAAGCAAAGTAGGTCCCGCAAGGATGATGTCTAATCATTCCTGTTTTAGTTATAACATGCCTTAAAGTCCAGCTAAAAAACCCACAGAGCTTGACTTTCCAAGTCAGTGAGATGGTTGAATCTGTTCAACTGGAGCTTAAAAGTACTACATTAGAGCAAAAGGATCTTGGATTCATTCAGAAATACAGGCTTTTTTTTTTTTTTAAGTAGGACTTGTGTCCTGCCTGCCACTCAAGCGTGAAGACATTCTGAGACAGGCCTTGGCAGGAGATGGAGTGTCAGTGCCCTGGGCTAGAAATCTGTCTGATCTCATAAACAGAACTAGGTTGGCTTATCTCTAACTGCCAAATGTCATGCATCTCACATTACTGTTCATGCATTTTCTGGTTCTGTGCATTTCAGCGCATTCTCTGCGGGTGCTTTAAAGAGAGCTAAGAAGTTTCCCTGAACATCACTGCATTTAAGGACCTTTTACTGATAACATCTTTTTATCTTTTAGATGTACTTTTTATGTTGATTGCAATCAGGAATATTGAATAAAATTATAGGTATGATTTTTCAACAAATTGATATAAGGCTAAACTGTGATGTATCGAGGCAGGATAGAAATGGAATGTAAGAGCAGCAGCTGCAATATAACGATTCCAATAGTGAAAATACTCCCTGCCACAAGAGCAAGGAGGTACCAGCTGGCTCGGAAGAACTGCAAAGTTTGCTGAACTACATGAAATGTCCACTTCTAATGGCAAATTCCCCATATCCCAAATAGCTTACTGGGGATCAGGTATGTTCAGAGGGCATGGCGGGCTGACTGGACTGTTCTGAGCAAATGTAATGGAGTATCCTGAAAGGGCATGGCTGGCTGGAACCCTGCACAGGAGCCCTTCACTCCAAATTTTCTTTCAAGTTCCACTTGTTAAGTTTGCTTCTGTATTATTTTGAATAGTACTTTAAAGGACTTTTAAACCGTGGTTGCAAAATCATTCAATTGCTGAAAAAATTGTACTGGCTCATTACTGGACAGTGTACACACACTTTGAACTATGTAAAGGTAAGAAAATGCCTCAAGAATGGTGGAAAGTTATGTAATAATGTGGCAGTGACTATTTAATAACTTTCCAGGATACATCTGTAACTTCAGAGTTCCCAATCGCACAGAATAAACTAACCTGCTGTTTCCCACTTGCAAAATACTGAGCATTCAGTGCAGAGGAAAATATCTCTGCAAAAGTACCGGTGTTTTAATGGAAGACATCTAGATATCCTACAACTACTAAGTGACAATCAAACATAAAATTATGTATGAGTTATGTAGGAAAGTGCATTGACATACTACAAGGTAGCCTGAGCCTAAGCTTCTTTTCCTTGCATTTAGCATGTATTAATAAAACTAAGGCATGCATCCCAAAGAGAGGAGGCATTCTTTCAGTGCTGACACGATACTGATTGGAGTTTGTTATATCCTTTCATACTGGCATTCCACATGAGGACTCCCAACTCATTCTGTGAACTTTCCCAGGCTTCAAGAGCCTCCAGGCTGCCTGAATGTGAATGCTCTGGTAGTGCGGAGTTAAGTCCATCCATGAGCCATCCGCAGCCTTGTGGGCATATGTCCATAGCTGGACGGGAAACCACACATGCAGAGAGCTGCATGTAGTCTAGTTAGCAACTTGAAACAAGGAGAAAGAAAGTGAATTTAGGGTCCTCATCTAAATGGTAGGGTAACTGGGTCTAGTGGAAACTGGATCTGGTCCATGGGCCATTAATTAACTGACCTTGATCCAAGGCTGGAACTGTGAGCTTCGGTTCCTGGTCCTGACAAGATGAAACATTCTGATGAACTCTGGATAGGCTGTCCTTCACCTTTTCATACAGCTACTTAGAGAATGACAGAGTATCATGGTGGGGGGTGGGCGGGGGAAGCATGTGCCCCACATTGATGAGTATGGTTTTCTTCTCTACAGTGGACTGTGAATCCGAGCCCCCTGATGTGGTCTACCTACCAGCTGAAATCAAAGTGCTCAACGGCCCGGAGTATTTCCGCCTTCAACGTGCTGATCGCTATGTGCCCGGAAACGCTTCCCTTGGCTCACGCGCCGAGACTTTCCTCTTCCTTCACCGGCAGCTCACAGGAAAGCCCACCATCCAAGCTGCCTACCTGCCCTTCACTGCCCAGCAGGTAACGATTCAGCACAGCAAGGGATGTGGCTCCTCGGCCAGAGTCAGAAATGGAGCAGAGCTCCCTTGACTGGGTCTGTGAGGAGCTGCAGCACAGAGACTGGACTTTCTCTCCCCCCAGGCAGTCCCGGCTGACGACTCCCAAGACACAGACCCCTCTGCTGCCTGGGACATTCGGGTTGTCTCCATTGAAGGCACAGTGTCTCCTTACGAGCCGTATGCCAGGGTCCTTTTCCACCTCCAAGGGCAGGACTGGATGTCGAGACAGCAGCCTCTCCCCTGCATCATGCTGCATGTGTTCCACCAGGCCCAGGCAGTTCGCCGGGCCTGCCACCTCCAGGTGGGTACACAAGACGCCACTCCCAGGAATAGTTCTCTAGCCCATGGAGAAATTAGGTACATGACACTGAGATGCCACAAGTGGTGACCTGTAAGTCAGACAGGGCAAATGACAATGTGCCTTGCTGGGAGGCTTCTCCTGAGGGAAGTGGAAGCCATTGTGGACTCAGTAGAAGACGCAGTTCTAGGCCCTGCTTGATCATGAAGCTCACTGGGTGAAGTTAGGCTGGTCACTCACTCTCAACCTAACCTGCCTTACAGGGTTTTTGTCATAAGTGGAGCTAACAAAAGCCTCCTTGGGCTCCTCACAAATGAACGGAAGGGGGATATACATGGGGTAATAATAAGGGAATGTTATTAGATTACTTCCCTGAGCTTCCTGCCAGTATCCTGTGGCACCTGGAGAAGTGGTCCACAGCGCATCTGTTTAGACTCGCACGGAGCTCCCTCAAAACAACCAGGCCAGGCATGTGTCCATGGCCAGGCCTGCTGTTTGTGCAGGTGGCCTAGTTATGTCAGACGGACTTTTCTCATGATATTGCTGACACTTGCTTATTTCCGTCTATCTAAAGCAATTGTTTTAATGCACAGAAGTGCTGCAGTCTCTGCTAAGGCAACTTGCAATCCACTTGACTCCAAAAGAGCAAGGATGGAGGGTGGAAGAGAGAGAGGGAGAAGACTGACCAGGCCTAAGTGGTGGAAATGGCCTGGAGGCAAGGGGAAGGGGAGGCTGGAGGGAAAGCTTTGCTAGCATCTGATAAGCAGCACATAGCAGAACTTCACTGGCTACCAGTTGTGGCCCGGGGCCAATTCAAGATGCTTGTATTGACATATAAAACCCTAAACGGCTTGGGGCCTGGCTATCTAAAGGATTGTCTGTGCCCATATATACCTACCTCCCCTCTTAGATCAGCTCAGGAGGCCCTTCTATGAGAACCCTTCAGGGAGATGAGAGGGGTGGCAACTAGGCGAGGGGCCTTTTCCGCTGCTGCTCCCCATCTTGGAACTCCCTCCCTAGGGAAATTTGCCTGGCACCATCTTTATTTTCCTTTCAGCGCCAGCCAAAGACATACCTTTTCAGGATTTTTTTTTAACATTAGCCTGAATGCTGTGGCCTTTTAATTGCTTTTATAGATGTTTTAATTACATAGTTATGTTTTAATTGGTTTTAATGTGTTTTACTCTGTTAATATGTTTTATATATTGTAAGCTGCCTAGGAAGGCCTCAGCAGTTATAGGCAGCCTATAAATACATGTATAAATAGAATAAAATAAATAAATAACTCAGGGAAAAGCCCATGCTTCATGTTTGTAAGGCCCCAGATGCCATTCCAATAGTCACCTGTTAAAACCACCTTGGTGAGCAAGGCTGACATTTCTGCCTGACCTGCAAGACAACCGCTTCTAGCCACAGTGAGCAGTGCTGGCCTGGATAGACCTGGCTTGGCATAAAGCTGCTTCGTGGGATCTTCTGACATCTCGAGTAGGGACTTAGATGGGGGAAGGGGTTTGACTTGCCATTCTTTTCCCGCCCAGGCACCACTTGGGGTGTGTGTTGTAGAAGTTGAGCTTCCCCCTCGCTGGTTCTCTCCCCTGCCTCCCGCCAGCCTGCGCAAGCTGGAGGAGTCCACCTCCACCCCTCCACGGGCTGAGCTCTACTACACCGTGGAGTCCCCATTGCCTGGGAAGGCGCCTCGAGAGTGCCCCCACGGGCGGGCCCAGGAGAGACTGCGCCCGGGCCCTGAGGGCACCAAGGACCGACTGCGCTATGTGGGCCCCGTCGATATTCGGGTGATGAACCCACCACGGCGGCAGGAAGTGCGGCTGGATGACAATGTGATGGTTCGAGTCCCTGACATGGCGCTGCGCCCTGGGCAGCTCTTCACTGCCACACTTATCCTGCAGCAGAACTTCACAGCTAATCTGCTGACTCTCCGGTAAGCTAACAAGAGCCCGGCTGTTACTGCTTTGGGATCCCCATCCTAAGTTGCTGCTTCCAGTGTGCAACAAAGCAATTTTAATAATCTTCTTTCTGTCATGGTTATAGATACTTGAAGGTTTTTATTGTACCTAGACACATAGGGCAGATGGCATGATTAATGCATCTAATGGATTAATAATTGACTAAATAATAGTGGTTATTGTAATGCTAAATACTAATGCTGTATCATAGTCCTTCGAAGTGTTCCAAGTGCTTCATGTGTAAATATCCAGAGCAACACGGGTGGAAGCCGGATTCTGAGGCATGCTTCCTGATTCATCGCTGAGGCTCTTCGCCACTGTGCTGCCCCAGCTTCCCAGGCTATGCCTTGGGGCGCTCCTTCCTGCAGGGGTCAGCCCTGGCTCAGCCTTTGTTTCCCTCCTGGGCTCTTGTGCGCTGCTCACCTTCCCCTGTCTGCACATCTTATCTGGCCGCATTACATTTCAGAATCAAGGTGAAGAAAGGGCTGCAAGTTCTGGCTGCTCGTCCCACCAGGCCAGAGGCATGGACTGCAAAGCTGGACAAGTTCAAGGGTGCCAAACACCACACCGCTCTAGTCACCTGTCGCCGTTCTGTTGGCAGTGGGATGGACTGGAGGTGGGTACCCTTGGGGCTTCCCTGGGCCTGGGGCTCATGCTGGCTCCAAAAGAACCAGGTGGCTCAACAAGGGATGCAGGACCATGTGATGCCTGCAGTGGCTGCTTTGCTCAGAGGCCTGCTGGGAGGTGCAGGCATTGGGAGCCTTTCCTTTGCAGGAATGTCTTTATGCCTAGATGGCTAAGAAGAGGTAGGGCAGTCAAGTCCCTCTGTTGTCATTGTTCTCCTGCATGCAGACAATCCAAATTCTGCCCCAACAGAGGCTGAATTCTATGCCTTATATAAATTATGGGGACCAAGCAAATTTGCTCATATCTTTGATTTGCATATTATTGTGGGACAGGGCTAGGCATACCCACACAGATTAATAACCTCAAGGCTGGATTACTGAAAGGTGCTCTTGTGTGGGGCTACCCTTAAGGCTAGTTCAGAAGCTGCAGCTGGTACAGAATACAAGGTTACTACTGATCAGGGTGTCTTGCCATAACACGCTATGCCTCTGCTAAAGGTTCCACACTGGCTGCTGGTCTTCTCAGCCGGGTTCAAGGTGGTGGTTCAAGTGTACAGAGCTCTGTACAACTCAGGATATCTCAACAATTGCCTCTCTCTTCTATAAAGATATTCAGAATTTTGATGATGGTGATAATGAAGATGAAGGAACTGAGTGAAGAGAACCCAAGACAGGAGAGGACAGTAGCAAAAACCGCTGAAGTGGGATCTCAGCTGTGTGCAGATGGTCCCTCTATGAGAGGGATCTCAACTCTACTTGACAAAGTGGTGGTCAAGGCTTTCTGGGTTCTCTGCACACCTCCCAGCTGTGGTTGGTGGATGATCGGAGGTTCCTTATGCAGAACAGAAGCACCTTGCAGTGGGTGCACATCCCCGTGAATTGTGGATTAAATAATCCACAGTTTGCCTCCATGATGTTCAGACTGAGTATTTCTCTCTCAGTAGTACTGGAGAAGTGAATCATACCTCTTTCTGTTTTACCTGTAGCCTGAGAATACGCATGAGTGCTGGTGCAGAAGGCTGAACAACTTGCTGCCTGTGAGCTCAGCCAACTAGCAGAACAGAAATCCAAGCATGTTATTGATTAGTTTAATGCCTTTGTTTTTTTAATTCTGTCTTTTCACTCAGAAATGTTAGCATGCAAGGCAGCTAATATAATACTGTTTTTTTCTATAATGTCCAATAACCAGAGCTCTCTGGATGGTTTGCAAAAGTTAAATGAAACAATGAAATCATATGGAAACATAATGAAAAGGATGAGAGCTCATGAAACAGTAAAAAATGCACAAATGAATTCAGAGGCCAGGCCAAAATCCTGTGCGAATACAAACATTTTTCACGTTGTGGCAGAAAACAAAGAAAGACAAGGCTACACAGATCAATCCTGGTTGCTGCAACAGAAAAGGTCCTTTCCTTTTTCCCACCTGACATTGGATGGGCACAATCACTGGTGTGAACCTTCTTCCTGGGCAGCTGATGGAGGGATTAATTCTGCAGTTCCGCAAATCTACCCTATCTGACTGGATCTGCAGAGCTATTTTAGCAGTGAGAGTTGCTAATGAGTAGATGACTGAAGGGAAAGTTGGGCAGTGCTGTTTGAAGGTACTCAAAACGCCTCAGTGCAGCGGTGCCCAAGAAGTCCCTCTCGTGCCAGTCATTCTCACTGGGAAAAGCTGCTGGAGGAAGTGGCCATGTTGCACAAAGCTCATTGGAAGGACCCTGAGTGCTTCCACCCGCTCCTTTGATTGCCAGATTTTTCAGTGGATGGATGTGCCTTCCTGTTCAGCACCAAGTGGCTCAGGAAAAGTAAGGTGGATGAGTGGTTGCTTCAAGTCCCTCTTTTACCTGTTCAGCTTCCAGGTCCTCTGCGATGCCTTAATTAGCATGCCATCTTCCATCTTCACCCCCATTTAGGGCTGCAGATTTCCCAGAGTTCCTGTATCTGGATTTTGTAGTGGAGAATGGCACAGGGGGCCTGGCTTCCACACGGCCTGTCACTTGGCAAGTGGAGTACCCTGGCCAGGACCCTGAAGCAGAGAAGGACAAGATGGTGTGGGAGATCCAAGTCTCAGAGCGAGATGTGCGGGCCTTGGTTCCACTGGTGCAGGTGAGGCCCAGAGGTTCCACCCTTTTCCCATTATGGGGCACCTGAGCTGCCCGAGGTGCTGGCTTCTCATGCTCTTCCCTTGATGCCCTGCAGGAGCAGGAGATTGTGAACACTGCCCTTCTCACGGGAGTCCCCCACTCGGTGCCTGTGAAACTGGTGGTGGTAGAGACGGGAGGAGCAGTATCTGAGGTGATGGAGCAGATGGGCTGTGAGTCTTCTAACAAGCAGGTCCTGCAGGTGAGAACCAGCATGTGCCTGGCAAAGGACTCGTTTTCTACTCAGTGGCCACATCGTCACAATCCTCAGCACTTCTTTGGGGCCTTGTTCCTGCCTTTTCCATCTCTCCTTTCACTACCTTTTGTCTTAGAAGATCAGATGCAGTATCTGTTTGTGTGTTTCCAGAGTTTTCATTTGTCCCCTTTGCATATGGACAAAGTAGACCCTTTCTTATTAACTGGAGTGCATCTATGCCTCCCTTATAGATTCCTTGCAAGTCTCACCAATTCTTACTTGGTATCCTTCTGATCCAGCCCTTGAGAAACAATTGACTTTTACCCATTCTATACATTTGGGTCGCTCCCTTCTAGTTGCCTCCATCACCAGTCAAGGCTTTGTCCTTGTCAATCTTCTGACCTGATTTTCACTGTCTTTTTATGCACATGCTGCTTTTAAGGAAAACAGGGTTTAGAATGATGCCAAGAATGGTTATGCTACAGGGAAAACAACAAACATACTTCAACCCCCACCCCCGCCAAAAAGACCACTTTCCCCTGTCCAACGCACACACACATGCACACACCCTGGGGCCCTGCCAGATCTATCTCCTGTAATATGCCTGAAGGCTACAGACACCAAACTGTTCTGGCAATAGTTCCTTGCAGAGTTGCTCAGCAAGGGAAAGCAGAAGGAGCCTGTTGCATGCACAGGGCTGGGTCCATGCTGAGAAGTGTGGCCTGGGCATCTCCTTTCTCCTCTCCTCTGCAGAGGCACATGTGCTTCAGCATCACCTCTGCCTCTGTTGACTAGGATGTGTCCTTTCCTTCCCCTCAGGTGTCAGATGTGTGTGATGCTGTCTATGTAGGGGGAAAGGAGAGCCGAGGGGCACGTGGTGTACGGGTGGATTTCTGGTACCGCCGACTGCATGCTTCACTGCTCTTTACTGTCTGGGCTCCCCTTCTTCCTCTGCGGATTGAGCTGACGGACACCTCTCTGGAGCAGGTGCGAGGCTGGAGGGTCCCTGGCCCAACCCCTGATGGGTAAGTGATGTGGAGCCAAGGCATTTACATGAGGCATGACCCCCTACTGTTTCTACATCCCAGACAAGGGACCAGTTGCCACCTGTGATTATGCAGTAGGGGAGATGGGAACTGTAGAAGCATCTGAACAGAGGGCAGGTGGGCAGGCATTTCAAGTCCACACCCAGGATTTTGACACATGTAGGGTGAGACCCTTCTAATTGCTTCATGGAAGTTTAGCAGTTCCATGCAGGTGGCTATTGTGGATCAAGAAGAAAAAAGAATGTATAATTGGATGATGTACTCACGGAATCATGGAGTTATGCAGAGAGCTGGTATCTGGGATGCAATTTCAAAGTGTTACAGACTGAATTGGGGAAGCAGGTACAGACCAGAGTGTGCAAGGCATGGGGAATCTCTGGCCAGCAGGCTGGATACAGTCCACTGGAGTTCCCCGTCTGGCCTGTCTGCATCTTCAGCTTCTTTCCCAGACCCTTCTCACTTTCTTGACAGGGAGAATGTCATTTCCTGTCAGCATCTAATCAGATAAAAGAGCCATGGGAGAAGAAACACTCACCAAAGACTGGGAAAGTTTCCTTTTCTCACCACACAGCAGCAAAACTCTGTATCTCTGACAATGGGCTGGTCAGAAATGAGAACGTTTCCCTGTTGTGGATGCAGAGCAGGGCCTGGGGAGGAAGCTGCTAAGTGATGCAGGCCTTCTTGCTTTCTGAGGCTTGTCCTGCTTACTTCTGAACAGCCATGCAGAGCCCCGGTGGCTGGGATGTTACTGGGAACTGCTACAGACTGATTTAGTCCTACTTTTTTCTCAATAGAAGAAGCAGGTTTGTGCTGCTTACTGCCGAGGTGTATAATCGGTAAGATCACATTTTGGTCATGCTCCCTCGATATGTGATTCTGCCCACAGAGGAAATGTGGCCCTTGAGAGCTCTAGCAGATTGATATTTGACCATACATGGAAAAGGGGATCCCCCTGGAAATGGGGATATTTAAAGTGCCTTGTAAAAGATTAGTGGGAAAAGCCACTGCTGCTGCTGCTTCTTCCACTGCTAATATAGTAGCATACTTTGACTCTTACAGTACTATATTAATATTACTCTAAGTTGTGCATGGGGGTAATCCGGCTCATCTACAGTGCTCCTAGAGGTATTGCCATACTGAAAGCTGTTGTAAAACCCTTGCAAGGCCATGAATGTGATTATTGCCTCTCTTCTGAGCAGCGGTCCAGCAGAGCCTGAAGAGGGTGGCGAGGAAGCCGAAAGAAAAGCTCGGGGCTGCCGACTCCAGTACCAGCGCGCTGGGGTCCGTTTCCTTGCCCATTTCGTAGCTCACCCTCTAGATGGTGGCCGCCACCTCACCTATATGCCGAGCTCCGACTGGCTGCTGGATGTCTCTCACCTCGTGCAGAAGCACGCTAGAATCCAGGACCCCCGAGTGGCAGTGCTTGAAGGTGGGAGTGTGGTGGTTGGTCGTGAGCCAGGCATGACGTCTGTGGAGGTAAAGCATCCCTGGAGAGAAGGGGGGGCGGTGTTGCTGGCTACTGAGATGGAACAGGATGAGAAACCCCCCCCCCACTAATACCAGAACTCACAGTCTTTCCCTGAAGCTGATTGGTGGGAGGGTCAGGACAGATAAAAGGAAGCTCTTCACAACAGGGCATAAAACACTGTGGAATTCCATTCCTTTCCATAAGATCCAGTGGTGGCCATCAGTTTGGGCGACTTCAGAAGGGGACTGGGCACAGTCCTGGAGCTCCCTGCTGCTACTAGTCCTGGTGGCTATATGTGGCCCCCGGTATCAGAGCCAGCATGCCTGTGTACACACCAGTGGCTGGGAAGCATGGGTGGGAGAGTGTTGCTGCACTCCATGTCCCGAGGGCAATTTGCATGAGCGCAGCTGGTTAGCCGCTCTGTGAACAGAATGCTGGGCAGGGGGCAGCTTGGTCTGGTCCAGCACAGCTCTTCTTCTGTTTGTCAACTTGCTGGGCCTGTGATGCTGACCTGCTGCTGATGGAGGCTTGCCTGAGAGATTGGGATCTGTGAGCTGTTGGTGGGTTGGGCATGTATTCTCAGGCTATTTTCCCCTCTGGCATTGGATAGTGGAGGTGAGCTAGGAGAGAAGGTGGAGCCAAAGGGAGAGTGAACTCCTCTGAACAGATGGTTGTGATTTGTCTGTAGTTAGATAGGTGATATGGATGGGTGTGGAGCAAAGAGATGGTAGGCAGTGGGGAACAAAGAAGGTTGGCTCGACTGGGGATAAGCTCCAGGTGGGATGAAGGATGCTGTGGTGAATAGACACAGTCCACAAAAGTCACTAGCCTGCAAATATTCCTGCTAGCTTTTTAACACATTGGTCTTCCATAATGGTTGACAGACTTGGATTCAGGATGGGTGAGGAGGGGCATCTAAAGATAGGTTGCCCAGGCTTGCCAAGAGTCACCTCCTGAGGGTAATCATGTCTTCTCCATCCCCTGGTTCAGGTGCGTTCCCCTGTTTCTGACTCTATTCTGGGGGAGCAGACCCTGGTGGTGTCAGACGACAAAGTCTCCATTTCTGAGCTGCAGGCCCAGCTGGTGTCAGGCCTTTCACTTTCTCTCTCTGTGGAGCCAGGACACTTGAATGTCTTCACCGCCAAATGTAAGGGACTCTCTGTCCTGCAGTCCCTGAAGCAGGTGAGCAGATCCTGCAGCGCAGCCTGGGCCAAGCTGGTGCCCTCCAAAGGTGTTGAACTGCAACTCCGATTATTCCCAGCAAGCCTAGGAGTGACCATGCTGGCTAGGAATGCTGGGAGTTTCCATCCAACTCTGGAGGGCACTGGGTTGGGGAAAGCTGCTAATGTAGTGGAGAGCTTTCTGAATTCAGCGTGTGTGTTTTAAAGTATATTTTATTTCAGTTTTACCATTTCTACAACTGATAATAACCCTGTCAGACAGAGTTTGGCGACAAAGCATTTGTAAGCTATTTAGAACTGGGGGAAGGTAGATTTTTGTATTACATATTTCAGGGCAAATCTATGTGGACCATTACAAAAATCAATCTAAGAGGTAGTTCCAGAAATATTCTTGTGATGAAGGCAGTCCTATTCTTACTTTTACATTTGTTTGCATATTCATGAAAGCAAAACTGTTGGTGTTTTGGGCCAAAGATGCACACTGAACACGTGTCTCCTGTCTCACTCAGGATGGCACTGGGCATTATGGGAAATGAACACTTGTCACCAAAACCACCAAACTCCACCCCAGATGAATTTCATGCAGCCCTGAGCCAAAATCCAAATCCCTCTTCAAACATCTGTTTACCTATCTGGCAAGAGCCAGCTCTCCCTTCCCTGGCAGCCCACAAGATGGGAGGAAGGAAGAGAAAGAGAGAGAGAAGGAGTGACCCTGGTTGCAGGCCCTGCTGACTGTTTCTTTGGGCCCCAAACAGATTACCTGTGAGGAAATGCAGACCCCAGAGGAAAAGAGTTGCCCACCCATTCTAGTTACACATATGTACGGCAGCCTTCCTTGCTGCTATAAGTAGCAGTTCAAGAAAGGGAGTGGGGAAACCTGCAGTGATCTGGAAGCTGCTGCACTGAACGGAGGGAGGTGACTGCTGCTGTAATGCACTATGCATGCTTCTAGCTCTCAAGTGCCCCTTGCGGGAGGGAGCCATCATCTGAGGGGCCAGGGTTATACGCTTTGCCTCAGCTGTGGCTGGTCTTCTGTCCTGGAATCTGTGTGTGCGCCTGACTCCCCCTGCCCTCGGCAGAGCCATCTTGCACCCACGATCCGCGTTTCCTTTTCCCTGCAGGACGCTGTGCTCAGCCTCTGGCTGGCATTCACTGACCACACCTTGGCTCCAGTAGAGCTCTATGGCTGGCGGGATGCAGCGCTCCATCTGACTTCCCTGAACCCTCACGTGGTCTCCGTGCGGCTGGACGAGGGGCAGGATCGGCCTGTGATCGTAGCCGAGGGACCAGGCCGAGGCTCCTTCCTGCAGCTTGGCCTGCACTCTCCAGACCCGTGCCGTAAGGGCAAGCACCGGGCACCCCTCGCCCAGGGCACAGTGTGGCTGGAGGTGGACTTTGGCCAGCTGTTCCTGACAACAAGCAGCTCATGGGAACCGGACACCCCCCTCCACAGCGAGCCGCCCTTCCAGCGCGCGGAGGGGGCCATGTCAGGTGAAGCGGTGACAGTCGCTGCGGTCACTGAGAGTGGAAGGGGAGCCAGGCGCCGTGGCCCAGTAGGGGTGGGGCCCCCGAGAACCAAATTTGAGGGGCCTGGTGGTAGCTCCTATGAGGATACTGAACAGGTGGAGGAGCGGGGCGAGGAAGATGAGATGGTGAAGGCCCCGGCCAGGGTGACAGACCTGGAGATCGGCATGTACGTCCTCCTGGGTGTCTTCTGCCTTGCCATCTTCATCTTCCTCATCAACTGTGTGGTCTTTGTACTCCGCTACCAGCGCAAGGAGCCTCCTGATGCTGGGTCGGGGCCATCCTCCGCCCCACAGCCTCACAACTGGGTCTGGCTCGGCACCGACCAAGAGGAGCTGAGCCGGCAGCTGGACCTGCGCAGCCAGCACTGCAAGGACCAAGCCCCGGACCCTCCCGGTACTGAGGACGGGTGCGCTTGCTGTGCGGGGCCTGAGAGCAAGTTGGAGCCGATGACCCAGGAGAGCTCGGTTCCTCTCCCGGGGCCAGAAACAGGTGTTTCCATAAACCCAGTGGGCCCTCCAGCCCAGGCAAGCCCAGCCCTGACCACCACCTTGTCTAGGAGGAAGGAGGGCAGGGAGGTGGGCGGCCGGCGGAAGCGGGTGGAGTTTGTGACCTTCGCTGCTCCTCCGGGCTCTGCTCCCAGCCCCCCTGCATCTGCCCCTGCTGTTCAGTCCATCCTTGTGGCCAGCGAAGATGACATTCGCTGGGTGTGCGAGGACATGGGCCTTCACGACCCCGACGAGCTGCGCAGCTACATGGAGAGGATCCGGGGCAGCTCCTGACCTCTGGGCTGTCCTGGGGCCACCCGTACCCATCCGGGCAAATCAATAAGGGACCAGCACCTGCTCCCCTCGGTGCCCTCTGCAGGCCATCCAGCCTGGCTTTCTGCTTTGGGGAGGGCGCCGCTCAACCGGGAACCAGCTTTGGGCAACTCCATGGGGTGGGAGGGGGGCGCCGAACTGAGCCAGAGATGCTCCTGCCGCTCTCTATGTTAGAGATCTCCTTCCTCGGTTGTTCCACTAGGCCTGTTCCCTTTTCATTCTGTGGAGGGATTTACGGGTCGGCGTCAGCCCCCTCCCATTGGCATCCTGGTGGAGCTCCCGCTCCCTCCCGGGGACGGAACCTGCATATCCTCGTCACTTCTCTCCTTTCTCCTGCGCTTTCCCAGTGGGCAAAAAGGCTTGTATTAGGTGTGGGAGAGGGTGCGGACTGGACACCAGCCCTGTGCCAGCAGCACACTGGTTGCGATGTGCCCTGGAAAGGAACCTGGGGGCGCCTGCTCCTTGACCTCCCTTATTGCTTTGACTCTCATTGCCAGTTTGTGTCCATTGTGTGATGATGGTTTCAACAGCGAGTGTCCCTCCTTCCTGTGGTCTGAGCCCGGAGCTCGTTGCCCGCCCCCACCCGCACCTCCAGGAGCTGGGCGAGTGCGGAGCTCCAGGGAAGCACTGGCCGGCCCCTTTTTCACCCCGGCCCTGTGCCTGGTGTCCCCAACAGTTTTGTACAATCGCTCATATTTTATACCTGTAGTATTGGGAGGCTGCCAGGCAAGTCCTTTATTTATGGAAGATTTTTAATTCTTACATTGTTAAAAAATGAAATAAATAATGAGTAAAAACAACTAGGGTTTCTGTGTTTACTGCTTTATGAGTTGTTTCAGTTTCCTTAGTGATAGGCAGGCCTGTTTAGCCCTGTGCAGTGCTGCCTGCTAGAGAGAGTAAGGCCAGGCTGCTGACAAGCCACTGACAGCCTTTCCTGTCTCCTGATTTGTTTTATTTATTATTCCATTTATAACCCATCTCTTTTCCTTCAAGAAACCCAGATTGCCTTCTCCATGTTAGCTTCACAACATCCCTCTGAGGTAGGTAAGACAGGGAGACAGTAACTGAGCCAAAGTCACCCAGCAAACTTCACAGCCTGGTGGGGACTAGAACTCAGATCTCCCATGTCCCAGCCCAGTGCTCTAACCACCACACCACACTGCCTCTCATAACATCTGCAAGCCTCAGGGTCTAAGTGGACTGTCACTGCTGCAGTTCAGGAGCTCTCTAGGTTGCTACTGACACCAGCCATTCTGGTGGTCCCTGATCTGGACCTAAATTAAGCCAGCTACTGCCAGCAGTGCTAGTGCAAGGCACAGCTGTATGTGTGCCCTGTGCTGCTCTCCAGGCACAGCCATGGGCCTGTGCGGGGCTGACCTTGAAGGCTCTGCGGCAACGCAGGGAGCTGCCTCATTTCTGTAGCTACTAGCCTTGCTGGCCATGGGCTACCTCCTTCAGCAGAGGTGGCCTGCCTGCATACACCAGTTGCTGAGGAGCTTGGGCAGGAAGAGTTTTTGCACCGGTTGAGCTTGAGGGATCCCCAAGGGAGCTACCATGTGTAAGGAGTGCTGGATGGGATGGACTTTTGGTGTGAGCCAGCCTGGCTTTCCTTGTGTTCTTATGAGTAGGACCGTTGGCCTATTTAGTCCAGTACTGACTCCCACAGGCAGTGGCCCTCCAGGGAGTCAGGCAGGCCTGCTTTGTGCTGGCAGGGCCTCTCTCACACTGAGCTACACAGCTTTGGCTGCTTCCATACCAAGGTTTAGAGGCAGCAGAACCAGGTTCCCTTCGCCTCTGGATGGGGACAGCCTCCGACCTCACTGCGCACAAGTGTGTCCCTGTGCCTTTCTCACTTGAATGGAAGAAAGAGTTTCAACAAGGGCAGCTTTTCTTGTCCTTCAGTGACAAAATGCACCTTCTGGAATGTTCCTTCTCCTCACAGCAATTTAGAAAGAGCCTTGTCCTCTGTGCTCTTCTCCCCTCCATGGAAGGCCCTCCAACCTGCCTTGAAACCTTCCATTTCTATCATTCCTCAAGCAAACCAACAAGCTGCTTATTTTACTGATGATAATTTACAGTAAGAGTGGGCATTGTTCCCTCTAGGACAAAATTGGCCCTCAGCAAGTAATAACATGCATCTTTATGATGATGTCAATTCTCAGAAGAGAAGAACACACATGTTCTCACAACCTATCACTAGGAGTTAAAAAAAAGGATTTCTGCAAATAAGGTGCTATCTCATTCTTATGACATCACCATTTGCTTCACCCATCCTTACCTTGCCTAGGGAGAGCAATATGGTTTGGGAGTCAATTTTCAAGAAGTCTCTCTAGTGACTTAAGGAAAGAATGGTCTGACACCAGGAAACGTGTATGCACAGAACTCCCCTCTTCTTTGGGACTTAATCCTGCCCCTCAGAGGGATGGCTGCTGGGTCGGGGAATGGTCCACCTCATTCAGATACGAATAGCTTTTTATTCCTGGTAATTTTGGCTCCAGGCCTCCAAATACTCTATTATTGACGCTCAGCTTGGGGAGATAAGGCATTAATGATACCCTGAATATGTGGCTGCAGTCTTTGAGTACCTTGGCTGGCTGCCACTAATGCTTCCACCAGCTATTCATTTCTCTAATCCTTTTATAGCTCATTGGCCTCCCCGAGATCCTATCAGTTAACTATATACTAAAGCAGCGGTGGTGTAAATCAGCATGCTGAGATCCATGGAGCACAGGCGCCTTCTAGAAGTCCTGGGGGACACAGCCTGGATCAGTTGTTCTCACGGCCCATGTGCTGATGCTCGTAGCGGCCAGAGATCCAGATGAAGAGGATGCAAGTTACTGTCTGAATGCCCGCCAGCAGGAAGAAATAATAATCCATCCGACATTTGTTAATGTTCCCTGGGAGTGGAAAAGTGGGAAGCGGAGAGCCGTTAGTCCACACAGAGCAGACTAATATCTGCAGGAAGACACCTTTACCCTACTATTCTCTGCAGCATTCATTGCTTCTGCCAATTCTTGGGATGGTCTGATGGAGCAATTTCCTGACAGGACATATTTGCAGTTTTTCAGGCTCTGTGTCCCTTTGTCAGATAGCTGCAGGGGCCCACCCAGACCTCTGTGAACAATCTTGATTTGCCCACTGCCTGTCCTCAGCTGCTGGTGTGTCTCTCTGGTATTACTCACCATAATCCTCCGGGCAGTGCATCCAACCAATGACTGGCAGTGAGAGGAAAGCCAAGAGGCCAGATCCTAGAAGTGACCCCACTCCAGAAATGAAAAAGAAGAGACCCATGATGGCTCCTTGCATGGATTTGGGAGACTCGGAGTAGGCAAACTCCAGTCCTGGGAAAGGGAAAATTGGTTAGCCAGCAGAGCATGGTACCAGCCCCATGTTCAAATGACAGTTCAAGGCTTCTTAGATTGTTGGAAGCTGTGGATGAACACTGAAGACATGCGCTTCCCACTGCCTCCTTGCTTCCTTCTCATTCCACAGACAATGTTGACTTAACAATACAATCAACTCACAACTTCCTGTGGCCTTTGAATTACAGAAAAGTGGCTTATTGTTGGCTAGCAAACCAAAGAAATAAGTCAGGATTGCAGCCCTCCTTTGTGACTTCCTTAGCATGTGTTATTCCACATGTCTGTTTGCATGCGCAACTCTATCTCTTCTGCTGCTTACCTGGAATGCTGGCAAAGATTTCACTGATGCCAATAAGCAGATACTGAGGGATTTGCCAAAAGATGGAGAGTGGGGCTGCAATGTAATCATCCTTCCCAATATTCTGTGAGATGGTCTGGTTGTTGTTCACATAGTCCAGCCTCTTAGTTTCCAGAACGCCTGTTGGGAAGAAGCAACACTTTGAAGCATGGTGAGACGGTGTAGAGGAGCCCACTCACAGATGCGGCACATTCCAGCACAGAGTGCCCCTGGGTACACCTCCATTAGCTTAGGGCCCCCGGCGGGTGGGCTGTTCCATGAGCAAGAGCATGGCTTGCACAGCAATAGCTCCATCTGCCGACTCTTAACAAGACAGCCGTATGGAGCACTTCAGTGCGCCTTTGTGCTTCCCAATGAATGCATCAAATGATTCCTGCCTTGGTACTATTTTGATGAATTCTTATGATGGGGCAAAAGGTTTAATGCAAATGGTTCTAGTTCTTAAGGAAATATTTTCTATTCAGAAAAAAGGCCTGTAACTCCCAGCATGCATAGGACCAGTGGCTGAGGTACTGGCAGTGTAGCATGTGGCCCCGGGGGCAGCATTCCTTTTAATTCCTAGTAGTTTCTCTCAAAGCTACCTTGCATAGCGAGAACAAAACTGGTTGCCCTGATGCCTCGGGCCACGCTAGGCATGTCATGACCAAACTGGGCTTTGAGAAGACTGAGCAGTACAGCGTCATTCCCCGTCAAGACAGTGCATTACATGTCCACACCAGGTTAAAGGTCTGGAGGAGTTTTCCAGATGTTGCAGGTGTCTAGGACTACAGCACCTCAGGTTTTGCAAGGACCACCAATTGGCCTTAGGATGGGATTGTTTTAACATGGAAACCAGCCCCATGAAAACATCATCTTGCTTGTGAGCATGCATGCCTAGTCCCAGCTGGACACAGCAATGTTCAGCTGAGCTATGCCAAAGCAATGCAGGGAATCGAGATAGACTGTACAGTCCATGTGTGTCATTGCTAAAGCTAAGACGGACAATCTTCTGCCCATGGGCTGATCCAGCCTGTTTGGCTGGCCCATTCAGCATGGGTGAGGCCATCACCCTGCCAGAAGCCCCACCTTCTGGCTGATGGGGGCTTGAGGAGGGTCTGGAGAGGAATCCCTACTGAAACCTCCAATCTGCAGAGGACTATCCTTTTGTGGCAGGTAGCATGCCCAGAGTTTTGCCCGCCACATGTCCTCCCCTGTGGAGGTTGCAGGTTCTTAGATGCTAAGGCACACCAGATTTCAGGATTGCAGGGCTCAGAGCAGACCCACAATTTCAGGAGAAACATGTAGTGCAGACATTGTATGGAGTGGGGGCTGGCATGTCTATAAGTACGTAGGCTGTATCAAAAGTTCCCTACACACAAAAGGATTACATGTCCCAAAACTAGGTTCTAGCCTTGTTTCCTTTCTCATGTGCTGTTCCTTAAGTGCATGTAACTGAGTTTTTATCCATAATGTTTCACATGGGTGGCATTCAACTCCCCTACTTATATTGAAAATTGGTACAGTCTGGGACTGTACACCTTGCTATTTCTGAGTATAGAATCCCTAGCAGAACTTAAGTTGCACCCATTACCCTTAAAATTGCAGGTCTGTGGATAACCCATGTTTCTTATTTTGTTTCTACAGAGTGGTCCATAAACCCCTGATCTTTTATGCTTTGGGCTCAAATCCTTTAACCTGAGAAATAAGGAATGGAGTTGTTTAGAGATGTCGGAGGAATCTGTAACTGACTCAAATGAGTTTGAATTTCTAAAACTTCAACCCATTAATTCAACAGTGGACCAGTTTTTCCTGGGCTGTACAAGTTCCTCAAACTTTCAGACCATTAAAAAATTATTTTACATAATTTTGCAAAATGCAGTTGTAGAAAAATAAGTAAAATTTAAACGAAACAAAAATGTGTAATTCCCCCATAGGCTAAAGTGTGGAAAAAGAACAAAAGGGAGGAAGAAGAAATCTCAAGTGCCTATTCAGAGATATTTATTAGCTCAATGTCCTTCAGAAAATCACTCTCCTTTGTCAGGGGCTACCTTTCTTCTTTGAGATGTCACGGGAAGAAAGTCCTTCCAGTGTCTCTTCAGCAAGGATATGTTCTAGGATTTATTTTCTCTCTTTTGTTGTTTTATGTTCCTGGCAAGTGCCTTCCCCTCTTATTGCTTCACAGAAGTGTCGACTGGGGAGGATTTCCATATTTTTTGGGAGGTGTGCATTGTCAGGAGTGTGAATTCACACAAATGTCTACAAATACATTTGCACAAAATCCTAATCCATCAATGACCACCTGATGGAATGAAATGTACCTGACAATCCACAAAACATAGCTTGAATGGATTTTACAACCCTCATATATTCCAAAAGTGGGTGGTCACCTGCACAGAGGACGGAGACAAGGCCAAAGAACATGCCCAGAGCCATCTTCTTTAGTGCTGAAGGCAACAGCTTCCTCTTTGCCAGGAATGGGTCAATGACACGGTCCTTCAGTGGGACCAGGATCAGCAGAACAACCACATTGGCTAGAAGGAGCCAAGCATCTGGGAGCTAGGAAGAAAGCAAGATATATTAAGAGATACCCAAAACACTACAGGCTCCTTGTCCACGGACACCATAAGGTTCTGTTTTATAGAGCTAATGCATATGAGAGCACTTGTTTTATGGGAGGTCAAGCAATAAGGCTACGGATTCCAGGAAGCTGTAAAGGGCCAATTCACACAGCCAAACTGTTATGCTGACAGGTCTGTGCAGCATTCGGCAAGCCCTTCTTGTCATGTGTGGAACTGCTTCACTAAGCACAGACACCTTGCATTTCTACCCACTAGTTAATGTAACTAGCAGGAATGCTGCCAGAAGTGGCACGAGTGAAGCTGCAATCAGTGGAGTGCTTTCGACACTCAGCACCTGGTGAAGGAACTGTAGGACCATTTCCTTTCATATGGAAAGCTATGTGCATCCACTTAACATACTGACATTTTCACCGCCCTAGTCTGGTTGTGTGAATCATCCCTCATTGTCACAGCTGGGAATGTTGGACAAATGACAATGGATGCAAATGAGCGAATGAGTTTGGAGTTCTGCGAATCCCACCTGCAGATTCCATAGTAGAATTTTTGTCAGCTATGGGGATCCCACTGCTTTGTAGAACAGGGTTTTTTTCCTTGAGGGGGATTTATATTCATTCCCAAGTTCACATTTGCACACTTGTCAAGTGTGCATTATTGCCAACGTGCAGTTGCACAGGAAAATAAGCACTAATGCAAATTGCATAAGTGGAACAAAATTCTAGTTAGCTATCCGATTCTGTCAGTGAGTAGACAATAGTATGAAAGCTACCAGTCAATCTGTGAAACACAAATGGAATGAATATAACAAAGTCGACACATCCCAAGGCTCAGCCAATCCATGCAGTGACCACCCACACTCATGCTGCATCACCCCGACTATCGTGGGTTGGCTGTATACATGAAACAAAAGTAAACGATCATGCTTTAGTAGCCCTCACTGCTTTAGGATCATACTTTACTAGCTCTCGTGTGTTCACTTGCCTTCTTTCTCTTTCCCAGCCTGGCTTAGGAAGTGAGCCAAGTCAAGATCAAGTCCACAAATGCTAGCGGCCCCCTTCTTTGTGCTGAATTCTTGCACACTGTATGCAAAGCCCACAGGTCACATGCGCTGAAGTAGTTCTCTGCTTCCACGACAGGCATATGGGCAGCAGGAAACATGTGCAAACTGGCCTTGCTAGTTATACCTGCTTCCTGATGGATGCCTGAGCGAATGCTTGGTGAGAAGCTGATTTAGGGCAAAGAGAACCCACGCCAGAGTCTGGGCTGCTGAGCCAAGGAAATCTAACAGTTTCCAAGCCCCAAACTGGATTCCTCACACATTGCTAGCCCTCACTTCCCACCATTCTTAGGGCAGTTTCTAGAATGTACAAGAAGCCTGATTCTCCTGCATATAATGAACCCTATACCCAGTTGGCTTCCCAGAAGAAGTAAGGCAAACGCACACAGACATGTCAACAGATTTCCAGAGACTACTATATGGTTGTGTGAATCAGCTCTTAGCGGAGCTGTGGTGTACACTAGTAGATGCTTCCCTCAGAATAAAGTTGAGACATATTCCATCAGGTATAACAGAAACAATAAAAGAGACTTATCTTATCATCCTGAAATAGAAAGGGAGCCACATTAGAAGGAAGTTCAATATAAGCATTGGAGTTTTTCCCCAAAATCCTTCATTCCCCTGAAGGTACATATCCTTCTTTCTCCAGTTGCATCCCTTGCATTGCTGCAGTCCAAGTGGCCTGATGGGAAATGTCGTAATTTCTGCTCTGCCTGCAGTAACCATTGCTGAAGGCAGCAGCTATTCCCCTTAGAAATGTAGGGATGGTGCTTGAGCGGTTGGCAAGAAGGGGGAGTTCTGTCCTGGGAGGTCAGAACACTCTATGCATTCCATAGACAGCCTCTCCCTATTCGTTCCCTATACCTCCCACAACCTGGTGCCCTTTGGATGCATTGGATTGCAACAGCCACCGTGTCAGCTGGCTGGGGATGATGGGAGTTACAGTCCTATCCTCTGGAGGGAACCAAATTGGGCGCAGCTGCCCTAGTTGCTTCTCACCACTGCCACCCCGGCTCAGGGCCTTTCTTTGGCCTGCCAACCGCTGCTTCTCCCTGTGGTAGTGACAGGTGCTATGCGAGGAGCCCCTTTTGTCACAGCGTGATTCCTATTGCGGTGGAGCAGAATGACATCACCGCGGCTTGTCTCGTCCCACCACTTACTGTGTAGCCTTCACGGCTGGCTGCTGCGTAAGCACTGATGTTCAGATGTCTGCTCTCAAAGAAGTTGGGGATGAAGAGGTGCAGACCCTGCAGGTAGTAGGTTGACTGCATCTAAAGCGCAACAGGAGAGAGTCGTCATTAAATAAGCATGTGCTCTCCTGGAAAGATCCCTGGTCCAAGACTAGCCTGGCCCAAGCTGATGCCAAGGCAGGAAAGTGCGGGAAGCTGCCGCGTGCTGAACCAGACAATCGATCCTCGAATGGCTCTCCAGGGTATTGAAGCTGAGACCTTCCGTGTGCCAGCCAGGTGCTGTACCTCTGAGCCACAGCCGTTTTCTGACACTGTGGCAAGCAAATGCCTACGTCTAGTCAGCTGCATTTGCCATGGACAGACACTCCTTTCCTGTGGGTCCCAGAAATAAAGTAACACAGAACCCGTTTTTGCAGTTAGTGTGTGTGCTCACATGGGTGTGCACCCGCACATACAGTAAAGCCTGTTTGCAATATTTGGGACCAATTATTTACTATTCATTTCTTTTGCAATCCCCAAAAGAAGGCGCAAGGAAGGTGCAGAGTTGCTTCATTTTCTAACCACATCAAATGCCGGAAAGAAGCAATAACAGAACCCTTTCCCTGACACTGTCCTCTCCTCAGGTATAGATCTATGGCTGTGTTTGTATGCTCTGCCCTTGCTGACTTAGCTACAAGAGCACCTTGTAGCAAAGCTCTCACCTTCCACACTGAACAGTGGTCAGAGAACCAACAAGAAATGCTGCTCCCACATGCAGGCACACACACATTTTACGAAGGGGTAGTTTTCTGCAACGTGTGGCCCTTGCCCATCCTGCCTTCACCCTAACTTTAATCATGAATTGGTTAATCCGTCAACAGGGAGCTGATTCAAACGGTTATACAGTCTTTCCTTCCATGGAGGAAAGCTTCACTCAACAGCCAGTTCAATGCTTCAGCACCACAGAGCAAATACATTAAGCTATAATATATAGCAGCACCAGAGGTTCGTATCTGAATAGCCATTCTCCTCTAAGCCGATTTTAAACAATGGCTTAGCGTGACCCATTCAATTGTCATCTCCATGGGCATTCCTTTCCCCCCATAAATTTACCTTCAGGATAATTGATTATAAATTTTCTTGGCAACCCACTTACCCTACACACTAAGATTTATAACCCTCTTTTTAAAAAATACGAGAACAGAAACACTTCCACATTCATTCCTTTGCTTTTTAATGCACATTTCATTGCTGTTTATTGTACCCACTTGTCAACTTTATGGCTGTGTTGTAACAGCAAACAGGAACCAAGGGGAAAATGAAAATGAAACTGGCAAGCTCCTTTTTCCCCGCTATTTCTTCTCCTCCCTAACAGCTGGAAAACTTCCGAGCTGATACTGTCTATGTATGCTTGCTTGTAAGTAGCTCTTCTTTGACTGTGCTTTGAGTTGCAGCCTTAGTTAAAACGGCCTTCTAGCTGGGAACTCCTTGCCCTTAAAAGCTGAGCAAAAAAGAGAATTTGGTTGTATGAACTGGGGTGCTGCACCTCTTTCACTTTGAGCACCCTCAGAGCTGAAGAAGCTCTTGGGGCCACATTCCAGTGGCAGGAGGGACAAAAGGGGGCTGGACACCCGGAGAGAGCAGCCTTGAAATAAGCCCCCCTTCCTCCTCCATCTCTGTGTCTGCAGGCCTCCCTCATCCAAATCATCCTCATCCAAAGAGTTGGCGCCACCCTGGCCCTGAAATGCGCTCCAAGAACAACTGCTTCTTTCATTCAAAAATAGAGGCAAACCTAGATTGCCATGCAGTACACACCACAGAGGGAACTGCTACCAATCTGGTTCCATGAGGGCATAAGTATATAGAAAGAACTTAGGGCCGACATAGAAAATGTCAGTGCAGTTCTATGTAGCCCACATTCTGAGGTGAATTCTCCCACATCTGCTTCAGATTGTTCATTGTACATACTGCTGGAATAGGTGATGATCATGATCATGAGGAGGAGGCGGGGGCATAGCTCAGATCCCAGAATTTACATGCCAAAGATCCCAAGGTCCATCTCTGGCATCTCCAGAAAAGGCTAGGAATGATTCCTGTCTGATATGCTAGACCAGGAGTCGGCAACCTTTAACACTCAAAGAGCCATTTAGACCCTTTTCCCACACAAAAGAAAACTCTGGGAGCCGCAAAACCCTTTTGACATCTAAAATGAAGATAGCACTGCATATATCGTTTTTTACCTTAATGCTATGTTTCTCTTCATTATGATTTAGCTGCAGCTCTTGTTCAGTCACTACAAACTGTTATTTTTAATCTTACATTATAAACTAGTAGGACTCCTTTCATATATTTTGAACAGGAGAACAGTTTCCTGAAGAGTCAAAGTCAGTGCTAAAGGGCTGCATGCATTAAACAGCAAACCCCATTCGTTCGTCAGCAGTAAAAGCAAATGAATCCACTCACGTATCATTAAATGTTTGGTTTTCCTCAGAAACTTTTCTTTTCTCTGATTGATCCATGGTTGGCCTACGGGGGGGAGGGGGAGCTCAGTAAATCTACGCGGGTCCGGGTCTGCAGATCAGCGGCTGTGCCAGAGATATAGGTGCGTTTAGTGAGTGACTCTCCTTCATGGATCACTGCCTTGTTGTGGTGAAGGGGCTTGCGTAGCTCAATGAAGCTATGAGCTATGCTGTGCAGGACCACCCAAGATGGACAGGTCATAGCAGAGAGCTCTGACAAAATGTGATCCACTGGAGAAGGAAATGGCAACCCACTTCAGTATCTTTGCCATGAAAACCCCATGGTCAGTACCAAAAGGCAAAAAGATATGATGCTGGAAGATGAGCCCCTCAGGTTGGAAGGTGTCCAATATGCTACTGGGGAAGAGCGGAGGGCTAGTACTAGTAGTGCCAGAAAGAATGAAGCGACTGGGTCAAAGCCGAAAGGACACTCAGTTGCAGATGTATCTGGTGGTGAAAGGAGAGTCCAATGCTGCAAAGATCTATACTCCATAGGAACCTGGAATGTAAGATCCATGAATCAAGGCAAGTTGGATGTGGTCAAACAAGAGATGACAAGACTGAACATCGACATCTTAGGAATCAGTGAACTAAAATGGACAGGAATGGATGAATTTAATTCAGATGACCTTCAGGTATACTACTGCGGGCAAGAATCCCTCAGAAGAAAGGGAGTAGCCTTCATAGTCAATAAAAGAGTAGGAAAAGCAGTACTGGGATACAATCTCCAAAATGACAGAATGATCTCAGTTCGGATCCAAGATGCAGTAAAAGTGCTACACTAAATATGCCAGCAAATTTGGAAAACTAAAAAGTGGCCACAGGATTGGAAAAGGTCAGTTTACATTCCCATCCCAAAGAAGGGCAATGCTAAAGAATGTTCAAACTACCGCACCATTGCACTCATTTCACATGCTAGCAAAGTTATGCTCAAAATCCTACAAGCTAGGCTTCAGCAGTATGTGGATTGAGAACTACCAGAAGTACAGGCAGGATTTCGAAGAGGGAGAGGAACTAGAGATCAAATTGCCAACATACGCTGGATCATGGAGAAAGCTAGGGAGTTCCAGAAAAAATCTACTTCTGCTTCATTGACTATGCTAAAGCCTTTGATTGTGTGGATCACAACAAATTGTGGCAAGTTCTTAAAGAGATGGGAGCATCTGACCATCTTATTTGTCTTTTGAGAAACCAACATGCAGGTCAAGAAGCAACAGTGAGAACTGGGCATGGAACCACTGATTGGTTCAAAATTGAGAAAGGAGTTCGGCAAGGCTGTATACTGTCGCCCTGCCTATTTAACTTATATGCAGAGCACATCATGAGAAAGGCAGGCCTAGATGAATCACCAGTTGGAATTAAGATTGCTGGAAGAAATACCAACAGCCTCAGATATACAGATGATACCACTCTAATGGCAGAAAATGAAGAGAAACTAAAGAGCCTCTTGATGTGGGTGAAGGAGAAGAGTGCAAAAGTTGGCTTGAAACTCAACATTAAGAAAACTAAGATCATGGCATCCGGTCCTCTCACTTCCTGGCAAATAGATGGGGAAGAAACGGAGGTAGTGACAGATTTTATTTTCCTAGGCTCCAAGATCACCACAGATGGGGACTGCAGCCAAGAAATTAAAAGACGCTTGCTCCTGGGGAGGAAAGCTATGGCAAATCTAGGCAGCATACTAAAAAGCAGAGACATCACCCTGCCAACAAAAGTGCATATAGTCAAGCCTATGGTTTTCCCAGTTGCAACGTATGGCTGTGAAAGTTGGACCATAAGGAAGGCTGAGCGCCGAAGAATTGAAGCCTTTCTCCTGCGAATCCTTTGGACAGCAAGGCGATCAAACCGGTCAGTGCTAGAGGAGATCAACCCTGACTGCTCTGGCCAGATCCTGAAGATGAAACTCAAATACTTTGGCCACCTAATGAGAAGGAAGGACACCCTGGAGAAGAGCCTAATGCTGGGAACAATAGATGGCAAAAGAAGAAGGTTCAGCAGAGAATGAGGTGGCTGGATGGGGTCACTGGGGCAGTCGGTGTGAGCTTGAGTGGACTCCGGGGGATGGTGGAGGACAGGGAGACCTGGAGGAATGTTGTCCATGGGGTCCCGATGGGTCTGACAGGACTAACAACAACAACAACAAAGTGACTGATTAGCAGATAAACAGTCAAGTGCTGTGATTTGTGACAGGTCCCAAGCGCAGCTTTTAACATTCAGATGAAGGAGATTACACTGGGAGAAAGAGAATCCTTTCAGCAGACATGAGAGCCTGCAGGAAGCTTGTTTAGCAGAGGAATGCAGCGATGTATACTTAACTAGTTGATTTACTTAACTAACTAGTGCTGCGTTCCTGAGTGGAGCTGCAGCAGAGGGGTTCAAGAGCCATGTGTGGCTCCGGAGCCACGGGTTGCCGACCCCTGGGCTAGACTAAGCCACAGCTAGTCAGGGGAGGGCAGGCTTCTCCAACTTGGAGCCCTCCGGATGGACTAGAATTCCAGTCATTTCAACCAACAGAAGCTGGTAGAACTTGTAGCCTGAATGGCCTGTAAGGCACCAGGTTGAGGTACGCTCATGCAGACATGACTGAACAAGATGGGGCTGTGGTGCCCTGTTTTTCCTAGCTTAGCATGACCTCCTTTTTTCTGCAGCTTTCTCCCCCCCCCCCCCATTTACACTTTTGCCCTAATGAACACACCTGAATGATACATTGATCTGGAATGATATTTGTGGGAGCTACACTTTTTCCTTTTAGGTAAGTAAACATGTCATGTGGAAAGTGTTCTTTGAGATGGGAAAATCACCCCAAGGGCTTTGTTTCCCCAGTTATCTGTGCTAACACCGCAACTGTGGAAGGCTTTCACTAGAGCGTGGGTCCTCAAACTACAGCCCACGGGCTGGATCTGGCCCGTCATAGAGGTTTTGGACTAGCCGCACGCGCACATGTGGCGAGGCAGGGGCCTGCTCGTGCGGAGATCCCTTTGGACTCGCTCAGAGAAAAGGACCTGTGTGCGAGCAAGCCTCGGCCTCACAGTGTGCATGCCCAGCAGTGGCTTGCTTGCAAGGAGATCGTTTTGGACTCGCTTGGAGAAAATGATCTCCTTGTGAGCAAGCTGGCACCTCGCCCCTGCCTGTCCCCCCCGCCCGCACCGCCTTGGCAGCCCGTGCCTATCACCGGCACCTTTCAACGGGCACCCTGTTAAAAAAGTTTGAGGACCCCCCCTCCCCCAGAGAGGCTCTCCTGCTAACTCTGTGTGTGTGTGTGTGTGTGTGTGATTTTGATGCCAGGCAATCCCCTTTTTTATTTTACCTGGCATTTTCTTTTCCCTAGGAGTGTTTCCTTGGTCCTTTGATGTTCATTTTTGCAGTTGTTTTTGACACTTCAGTTTTTATAAGCCTCTTTTTTATTTGTCTTTTTTAATTACTGTGTCACTGTTTAATCACCTTGCATAAGATGACCTAGATTTTTTTGTTTGTTTGTTTTTAGCTAGGTGGAATACAAATCCCTAAAACAGATCATAAATGAAATGCTTGTTATTAATGGACAAAATTATGCTTTGAAGGGTTTTGGAAATTATATCAGTGCTTCCCCTGCGCACTCTGCTTCTGCTGGCTGCAGCCACTTAACAGGTGTGAGCATCAAACCGCAATGTCAAACACAAGCCAGTGCTATTCCTGCAGCTGCTCCCTACCTGGAAATAGACCATCCAGTATGGGATGAGGGTGAGGAGCACAGGTAGGATCTTCACCAACACTTGGAAGTTGGAGACATCCTCAGGTGATGGCCCCACAAGCTGCTGCCTTGGACCTGCCTGTAGGTCAGCAACATCAGCTCCTGACTGGGTATTCCTTGCTCTGTAAAGAAAAGTGGGCAGACACATAAATGTGCAAGAAAAGAGAGCAACAAAGAGTCTGGTGGCACCTTAAAGGCTAACACACCTGTTATGATATAAGCGTTTGTAGATTCCTGACCACCTCATCAGATCTATGCTGGCAACAAAGCCATTTTACACAGCTGATAAAAGCACCCTCTGCTGCCTTACCTGATTTTGGTGGTTGTCTTCTGATGAGCCTGGCTGCAGCAGCTCCTCTGGAGGGCCAGCTGGAAGATGGTGGAGACCTGGCTACCAGAAGCAGGCTTGGTGACAAAGATGGGGGCAGCCAAGAGGAAGATCACGAGGGCAAGGGCCAGACAGGCAGCAGGGATGATGTAGCCAATGAGGAAGTCTACGTTCTGTTGGATGAAGGCAACCACCAGCAGGGAGATTACCGCCCCAATATTGATGCTCCAGTAGAACCAGTTGAAGAAACGCCGAGTGGCATCCCTGCCCCGATCCGTCACCTGCAATTAAAAGGCAGGGGAATAAAGCCATGTTCCCATGAACAAGCTAGGGGTGTACTGAGGCCTGTAAGAATTGCCTGGAGGTAGCTAGTTCACTGCATTTTGCCTTTTATTGTGTTAAAATTTGCCATTGAAAACTGCCTTGAGGAGGCTTTGTCTTGCAAGGGGGTATAAAACTATTTAGATAAATAAAACAATAAATTCTTCTTTCTGGTCCTGCAGGTGGACTAGGGCTAATATCTAGGCATTCTGATCACTTTGTGGACTTCTCTGCAGCAAAGACATGGCCAGAATCTTGGGGTGAGGACAACAAAACAATTTGGATGGAGCTGCTGCAAAGGGGCCTTGTGGCAGAGATCAACAGAGGCACTCTGGCCTTGGGAGAGGGGGCTGTAACCACTGGTCCAACTGCACTGTGCAGGGAGGGCACCCAGACTCTTGGTTTGTGATCAGTTTTGGGGAGAGAGGGATGGGAGGGGCTCAACGGAGATACACAAAACTTGGGGACCATGTGGGCATGTGTGGTATTAAAGTTTTCCTTTCACAGGTCTCAGAATGATATTTGAAGGGCCAAGGTACTAATAAGGCTATCAATTAGCTATATCTACTTTCCGTTTCATCACACCTTTAAATTCTGAGCTTTTCCTGTTTTTCTATTACAAAACCTCTAGGTGGCACTGTGGTCATAGCAGAATGGTGTGCATCCACAAGAGGAAATCCTGCTTTCTTTCACTTTCTCTGCTCTGCAATAACTCACCCACAGTGCTGGTTAGACACAGGAGTGGAACTGGAGGGTCATAGGGTCCTCTAAAGAAACTCTGCACAATTGTGATAAATGCCTTGTGCAGAAGAGCTTTCAGGGTCAACAAAGGCACAATCTAAAAAGCAGCAAAGATGAAGGATTAACCTGAAAGGCATATAGGAACCTCAGACGATTGGTCGGTTTCGCACAGGATTGTTGATACCAACTAGCCATGCCTCTTCAGGGTGGCAGGCAGGCGTTTCTACAGCAGTGCCAGGAGATCCTGGAGACTGAGCCAAGAACTGTCTGCATGTGAATCAGGTGCTCTGCCACTGACCTATGGCCCCTCAGCTACTTGCTAGCTGCAAGTTCTGAGCAAGAGGGAGAAGCCAGTATTGCAGGAGTGCTACTGAACCTCTCCAGGACTCTGAAGGAAAGTTGTACCATTCTGCTGTTCTGCCAGAGGTACAGTACTTGCTTCTGCTCCCAAAAGAGCTCACCCAACAAATCCCCCCTGGTTCCAAACCCAGTGTCTTTTTACTTGGAATTTTCAAAGGAAAAAAGCTGGGTTAAAAGATAAACCCATGAGTAGCAATGAAAATGATCAAAGAAAACAATGCTAAGAGGTGCACCTTGCTTTTGGAGGCTTGGAACAGTATTTCTGCATGTGGGTTTTTTAAACCCACAAAGTGAACCATGTGTTTTTATCTAAAGTCACGCTGCTCGCAGATGCTTTGGTCAAGCTTCGTATTAAAGAATTTTTTTAAGAATTAAAAAGAATTCTATGTTTAAAGAATTCTGGGTAGACCCTGAAGTATTAATCTTTCTGGTACAGGCTTCTGAAACCATTCTGGTTTTATGTGTGTGTACTATTCATTTTATTGCCAGAATGGGGGAGGCCACAAAAGATCAAAGTTATATTTAATACAAAATGATCAAGAAAAGAAAACCCACTATGTTAAAAATGCTTTTCAAATCAGCACACAAAAAGAACACATTGACAAGATATAAATGATCTATTAAGCATCTATTAAATTATCCTTATCCAGTGGATAGGAGAAAACCAACCAGCTGGATGAGTTCTAGCAGAGCTATCTCCAAATGATTCAGATCATGATACAATATGCAAAAACCAACAAAAGACCCTTTCATCATAACTGTAGGTGTGACGTCACCCACTCCAAGTTTGCCAAGTATCAAAGCTGATAATCATCACATGGTATTCCACTCTCTTCCGCTTGGAGGCAATTGGGGGTGCTTCCAGATGGAGGGCTCCAAGTGCTAATAACCAAAGGATGTTGCACACCTATTCATTGGCTTCCCGCCACATGGCAACCTGTTATGGGGAACTGGCCATATTAAGTTGGCATGTTGTGCATACTTGGAACTGTTCCTGCACAGCGATTTGTTTGAGACCAACAAGCAACCCTGACAACCCATGTCTTGTTCTAGGGCTGCCTTGTTGCCCACAGCCAGCAGAACACTTTCATCGTGGGTTGCAGGGCTTGGCTAACGAGCCACTTGGCAAAAGCAGGAAAAGCCCTTGCTGTTCTTGGTCATGGCACCAGTCACTGACAGCCCCTCCACTATTGCCCTGGTGACACTCTGGAGCAACTATCCTTGATTTACCACTTTTGAAAAATCACTTTTTCAGTTGCAGAAGTGCATGCAATTGCTTTGTTTGTTACTTAAAAAGAAATGGTCAGTCTTTCACAGTTGCAAAAGGGTGCTCTTACATCTCTCTCTCTCTCTCTCTCTCTCTCTCTCTCTCTCTCTCTCTCTCTCTCTCTCTCTCACACACACACGGAGAGGGAGAGGGAGAGGGAGAGGGAGAGGGAGAGGGAGAGGGACTTTCCTGGTCAATAGATTTGTCAGTTTCAGTTATCAAATGGTAACAGTCTGAGAGGCAAGACTGCATACAGGGTGGAGTTTAAACACTTGACAGCTGTGAGTTGCTGCCTGTCAAATGGAAAGCACCAGTAAAAGGGGGAAAAGCAGCAGAGGGGGCTAAGCTTAAGATTTCCCCCTTGGCAGTGTAATCTTCTCAAATTCTAGTGTTGAACTGACACTTCTCAATGCCTTCCACCTTTTTTGGCACTACCCCATGCCTCTAGCTAATCCAGAAAGGGGAGACCTTAAGGCCATCCTGCATTTTGCATCTCCTTTTCAGAGCCACTACTGCAGTTCCTTGACAGCTGTCAAACCTGACCTTTGTTTAAAAAATAAGCAAACAAAACCCTGAGACTGAATGGAACAGAGAGAATGGAGCCACACTGAGGTGGTATCTCATTTGACCCATCCCATTCTACAACCTCTAAAGTTTATTTGTATTTAAAAAAAACCTATGTGCAATGTTCTCTTTCTCTCTCTTGCTTTATATGTGTGTGTGAGAGAGAGAACACATGCAGATTTCAAGGCCTGGAAGTAAATGGAATGCACATTTGCATTATATGCCTCATCCATTTACTTCCTAGCCATGTCAATTCATCTTTAGATACTGAAAGGATTTCATTGCTGAGGGTACCAGGCTGTGGATGGCTGGGTTAGAACAACAACTCAGACCATGCTCATGGTGGACCGGTGAGGCAAAGCCACCTATTTGCACCCCAGGGTCCCACCTTCAAGTAAAGGAAGAGTAGTCCTGAGCAAAGACGATCTCTTACCTGGTCAGCACCAAACGGTGTGAGGTTCGCCTTGACGGAGCTGATGCCCAGGGCCAGGAGCAGCAGGCCTGTGTATATGATCGGGGCACAGTACTGACTTGGCCACTGGTGCCTGCACCGGGCCTCGGCGGTACCTTTCTGGCACGAGGGCTCCAGCTGGGAAGCTGGCATCTCTCCGCACAGCCAGAGCCGCCCTTCCTCCGATGCCAAGGTGGGCAGCAGGCAGGCGGTCAGCAGGTAGAGCAGGAAGCTGAGCGTGATGGTCCAGTAGCGCCCCAGGTAGACATCCGCCAGCCAGCCTCCGATGGGCGAAAGGAGGTAGGAGGCCCCCATGAAGAGCAGCACAGCCCGCGAAGCCTGGGACCCGCCCCAGTTGAAGTTGCTGCTGTTGAGGTACAGCACGAGGTTAGAGACGATTCCGAAGAAGGCGGCCCGCTCCAGGATCTCCACAACCAGCACAGCCGCACAGGCGGCCTTCCTGCCCTCAAAGGAAGACGGGGCAGGCTTCCCTGGGGCCTCCCCCCGCCCAAGAAGGGGCTTCTGCTCCCCTCGGGCACCCTGGGAGGCCATGCAGGCCCTGCCTCAGGATCCTCGCCTATTTCTCAGCTGGGGGACCCTGCTTCTTTCTCCTTCCTTCACCGATTTTTCCTGGCTCTCGTTGCTTGTCCTATCTTCTTGAAAGCCTTTCAAGGCTGCCTTTCTACTTCCCTATTTCTCTGCTCAAACCCACGCATCATATGACAGCTCATTTCCCTGAAAGGAAACTTTCATACTAGACTGGCCAGAGTAGGTTCCCCTTTCACATGAGTCTTCATATGTTTTCTCCCTCTTTACAGGCTCCGGCCTCTTTTCAGTTGCTGAAAACAAAATGGTCATTTTGCCAAACTTGTCTCTGATTCTATTCCTCCCTCCCTCCAACCCTTTCAAAACATTATCCTTTTTCTGTGAGTGTCTCTCAGGACACAATAAGATGAGAAGAATCATAAAATTGAATGGAATTTAATAACAATTTGTATTTACTTCCTTTCTTTAAAGACAGTTAACAGTTAATGCTGCTAATGATCCTTATCACTGTTAAAGATTTTCATGGTATGTATGTATGACGTGTGTATCCTGCCTTGTTCCCTTCCCAGGAATTCAAAGTGGCTTACATAATTCTCTTCCTGCTCTCAATCTTATCCTCACAAAAACAACCCCACAAGGTAGGTTGGGCTGAGAGTCTGTGGCTTGCTCAAAATCGCCCAGTGAGCTTGCTTGCTTGCTTGCTTGCTTGCTTGCTTGCTTTCTTTCTTTCTTTCTTTCTTTCTTTATTTATTTATTTATTTATTTATTTATTAAAACATTTCTATGCCGCCCCATTCGCTGAAGCCTCGGGGTGGCTCACAACATAAGATAAAGTACAAAAATAACAATATAAAATAAATAACAATAAAAAAGAAGTCACCCTGGCCAGATAAATAAGCAAATACTGTTAACAATTAAAATGACGCTTAAATAAAAAGGTCTTGGCCTGGCGCCGAAAAACAAATAACAACGGTGCCAGGCGGACCTCTCTGGGGAGCGCATTCCATAGATTGGGCGCTACCGCAGCGAAAGCCCTCCTCCGAGTACCTACCCTCCTAATTTCTTTCACGGAGGGTTCCCGGAGAAGGGCCTCTCCTGCAGATCTCAAGGGGCGGCAGTGGGGACTAGAACCCAGGACTCTTGAGTCCCAGTCCAAGAGACTAAGCACTATACCACACTGGCTCACCTAGGGTCCTAAAAACAATCGGCTCAGGCTATCTTCAAAAAATGCTCTTGGAGATGCACCTTGATCCAGTGGATACCTGTGTTCACCTGTGATGCAGTGAGCCTTTGGCATCAGAGGTCAGCATTGTCAGGCCCTTACTAAGGTCTCCAGCCCAATAGGGGCCCATGGATGACCTCCTGAGTCTCCTGACCCTGCTATTTCTTCTCTGTGCTGATGCTGCCTGTTCATGCAAGGTGAAAAAGCTTTGTGCAGCTATTCCATTACTTCCTCCTTCACAGGTTTCCTTGATGCTAAAAAGAGAGAGAGATAGACAAAAGCAGCAATGGAAAAATATAGGAGAGTTACTCATGGGAGGTACTGATGTTGGGGGTCCCTCTTAACCTTTGGGGAATGAGGCAAGGCAGTTGCACAACGGACACCTCAGCTGGAAGCTAAGGTGCCCTCTTTTACAGAGGACAGCTCTCTCTCTTTGAAAGGCTGCCAGATGCATGTCCTCTGTTCTGAAAGTGTCCCTTCAATCCAAGCACAGAGTAAAGATAAATGTAAAGATAAATGTTAGGAGCCTCAATGGTAGTTGCAAGAAACAGAAAATCTGTGTTTGGGAAGGAAAGACCCCTTTCATCTTGAACCTCTGCAGTTTTATTGAACAGATCACTCAGGAAACCAAACAACAGTGCTGTCAGGTAGCGGGCCAGACCAACCACATGTTTTCAGAACATGTACAGAGTATTTTATAACCTCCTAGTCACATACAGAGGAACAAAGTGATTGAAGACAGGATATAGACATTACAATGAAAATCTGATGTCGGCATATACAGAACAAATAATGCGAATCAACCAAATGTTCATGTGACAATAAGATGACAATATTCCTGATTGCAGTGTATTGACATTTCAGTTGAGTAAATTCTTAAAGCTTAAACCAATCTTCTGTTCTGTTTAAACATGTAAATGTAGGCTGTTGAGAAACCGTTCATGAAAACATGATCTCAGATGCTGCACTCCCCTAGTGGGAGGGCTTTGAACCCGATGAAGGAATTTGTAGCCTTCTGATTGGCTGTGACACAGAGCGCTCTAGGCTCGTTAACTAGGTATTTCTTGGTAAACTGAATTCCTACAGGGATTATGCAGCAATATTGTAGCAGTGAGTTATTGTGTATTACTAGAGTTCGACTGAATAGAAAACCAGATTTTTCCTGTCTGCTCTCACCTATGGTTAGTGGGGAAAAGGGCAAGGGGGGCGGTGGGGGAAGGATTCCTGCAGCTTCTGATTGTTTATCAAAATGGATTCCTGGGTCACACCATGCTTGTCCCACAAAATACACCAGGCATACCAATTTAACTTCAATATGATTTATTCGGACCCTCTTCTCCGACATAAGGAAATACTGGAAGAAAAATCAGGGTCTCAGAAGTTGCCTGTGAACAGCCCCAGGACTGCAGGCTGAGCTGGCAGACACACTATGGTGAAATATGATGCATTTCTGTTTAAATTATAATAATTATTTTTCAATTTGCACCTAGATATTTACATTTGCATATGCAAAGTTTAAGTAAACCAGCATCCTCTTCTGTCTTTTTCTTTTTCTCTTTTTTTGTGATGCAATTCCTCCTTTTGGCTATTTGTAAGAGGACCCTGTATCTACTCCTGCCTGGATTTTTTTCTAAAGGCAAGTAGCTATCAGGGTTAGGGTTAGGCAGCTAGATGATTTCAACTAAAATCACCATGGGGCGATGGAATATGGTGCTACAGGCACTGGACTGGGGCTTGATGAAGTTTAGTGCTCATTCTGCAAATTCCACGAATGAGGCCTGGCAATCACATGGGAAAGGCCTTGCTGGAAGGACCTTTGCCACTCTTGCCGAGTGACCTGGCAGTCACAGGAGTGAGAAGATGCAGGACCAGGTTCCACTCCCCTCATCTGTGAGGTCGCTGTGGGACTGGGGTCTGAAGGACAGGGCACACAAATGGGAAGGAGAAGGTGGGCCTGCCCAGGGAAGGGACCCTACTGACGTCTTCTTGCTGGATGCGCCCCAAAAGCTGGAGTCACCTTTTGCTCTTCTGTGGAGCTATCTGTGCAACCTTGCCCCTCCAGATGTTAAATTTTGTCTCTGCATCTGCCCTTTCAACACTGTCTGAAAACCTGTCTGTCTTCCAAGTGGTGACTGACACACCCACAACATTTGGAGTTTAAGTAGCATTTGTTCTGTTTGTGTTACCCCTGAAGATGTGCTTTAGACCTGTGCTTTAGAGCTACTTAAAAGAACATGAGGGGACATATGGGATTTCCCTACCTCACAGAATATAGGTTCATTCAAAATTCAGGCCATGGTTCTAAATCATTATTTCTGAAGATTGCAACTGGCAGCCTTAAAGATGAAAGTGCTACTGTGAATGCCAGGCTGAAACGTGATTCCATCTTTCAGCCCTTCCCTTCTGATACTCTCTCTGTTGCTAAATCTGCCAAAACTTCCTGACTAGGAAAATCCGGGACAGAAGATTAGAAGGCAAACTCCAGAAAACAATCAAACTCTTTCACTGTTATGTTAAAAATAATACAGTTAGACAATATTTGCTTTCAGCCTGAGACTGGGACAAGCCTCATCAAAGATGACAAGGGGTGGAACTGTACTGCACCCAGCTTGCATGAATGATCCTGGGCATTTTAGGGAAATGGAGAGAAAAGGGTGGGAAGGGCTCTACTCCCCTGCCCTGCAAAAGGGGGTCTGAAGCCTTCTGAATTGCAACGACTGGGAGAGGATAGGACAGGGCTGTTGGACCTCCAGCCCCATAACCACCTGTTCTTTGCTGGTTTCCTGGCTCTTGGAGGTCCCTCTCCCCCACTCTAAAAGACTGAAATGCCTTTTCTGTGGCTTCATTACTGGCAGGAAGAACTTTGAGATAAAATAGGCTGGCTTTTTTTTTCTTTTTTTGTAATTCAGCCTCCCCTACGGTTTCCTTCATTCCTGCCCATCAATGGAATGCATCCGGCAAGAGCTTCTTTGAAATTGAATTTAGCTTTACAGTGTGACAGACTCTCAAATTTCAATTTGCAAGGAATGAACACTCAGGCTCATGGGGAAGGTCTACACATCGAGGTTTCTGGGGCTTTATTGGATCGGTGCCCCAGTTCCTGCAGTAACTAATGACAGCATGCCCCCAGGTAGAGTCAAAGCAACTACAAGCTTTTAGAACATACAGAGTGTTTTATAGATTCTGAGTCCCATGGGCCAAGCAGCTGGGCAGTTGACGATGAAATAAGGTGAACACAGTCAAAAGGTGAGAGGTCTGCAGAGGGGGCTCAGTACAATGCCATTGATTTCGAGGGATTAGCATAACAATCACTGAGGGACAGGGATTATTGTGGGTCTTGGCATGCAAATGAGGGTGATTGCAATGCTGTTAATCTGGCAGCCTTATCAGCTCTTACTGATCAGCAAAAAGAATTGCCCAGGCAGCTTCTCATAGCAAGCTATGAGTTCCCACAAATAGCAGCAAATGCTAAACTGTAACCTGACTTGGAATTCTGGTGCTTTCTGAGAAGGGGGTGTAGGTATTTTTTTATAACACAAAGGCACATATAAGCAACCTTTTTCTGCCAGGATTTATCTGAATTTTTCCAACAAGTGGAAGAGACTTTACTCTTTCTCTCTCTCTCACACACACCCTGCATAGGTTAATCTGTTAGCTTCTAGCCCAGTTACAAGGAAGTGGGCCATACAGGCATCAATGCTAGTATGAACCTCCTTTGTGTTAAGCCTTTGTTATTTGCCCTCTTTTAGAGTTGAAAGGAGAAGGGAGAGATGAAGAAGAAACATCAGACATTTCAGGCTCCTCCTCTGATCTGCAGTATGTATCTCCCCCTGCACCAGAAATAATGACAACCATGATGTAACTGTCTTAATATTAGTTTTCATTCATTTCATATTCTAGAATGAATGTGA